TCTCTATCTTGTCATTTTTCAATCAGCCATTAATTAATACAAATATTTGCCTCCTCTCACCAGTGATATCCAAAGAATATCTAAAGATAATAGTTTACAGGGATACTGGCCTAATTCTAGATAATTCAATTAAGTAATAATGCTTAAATTTTCCCCTTTGAAGGAGATCAGTTCAATAAAAATGATCATTTTTGGCTGGTAGAGAACACACAAAAATGGGTCCCCTTTAATGACAGTTAAAACCATTTTAAGATTTGTGAAAATATTAAGTTCAAGAACTTTAAAATAAAACAATTCCTATATAGTACTTATTATGCAGTCCACTTGAATAATAAAATAATGTTCACTTTGGGAGATTCAAGGTAAATAATAATTTATTATGAAATCAGCCTCCCAAATTGTTTTAATATTAGACAGAATAGAGACTAATCACCTCATATTAAAATATTAAATACAAATAATAGTAAATGGTGCAAAATTTTAAAGATAAAGTTTTATAGCAAAAAGGGCTGGTACTTCTAAGAGAAATGTTTAATAAATAATGTAATGAGATTCTAATAGTGTTAGTTTCAAGGAATAGGACAGAATTGATGAAATGAGGATGTTTTTATTGGTAGTTATTTCCTCAATTATTTGAATTTTTCCACTGGAATTCTAAAAATTTGTGGTTGAAGGCTGTAAGTATAGCAGTGAGTATAGGCCATCTATAAGAGCAAGATAAGACATCAAATGAGAATTCTGAAGTTACAGTCTCACCTCCAGGCTGGTGCAGAATATATATCTCTTTTCAACTGTCCAATAAAAAAAAAAAAAAAAAAAAAAAATCAAGAAAAGTGTTAAAACTACAGACCAAAAAACAAAGGGCTAAGAGTCATTTCACATTTACCTTACTCTAGAAACCATGCTCACTGTCTCCTAAATGGAATCAGGATTCTCCTTGTCCCTCTGTATATGAAAATAGCTATCTATTTTACTTTAAGATAAAATATTACTACCAAAACATGTTTAAGTCTTTATAATTATCAAATTCAACTACAGTTAGGCTTTGGGAAACAGGTGGAGGTATCACTATTATTAACACCTGAAAGCTGTGGTCATGACATTACAACTAAATTCCTATGATTTAAGCTTTTTGCTGGGAAAAAGAGTATATTTACAAATTTTCTATTCTTGACTCAAAGGATCCTGAAAATTTTAAAAACACTGAAATTAAAAAGCCACCAAAGTGTCAATTGTCTTAACCTTACCCGATATGAAATAGATGTGCAGGTGTAACAACCTCTTAAGTACAATGACACTATGCTTATTGGATTGTACTGCACAGGCCATGAAGTCTCATGGGACCTGCTAGTACCCAGTCTTCTGAGAAGGGAAGCCAAATGTCTTTAGTAAAAAATATCAGCCTACATTCTAGAGATGGAGAAAGGATCTGTGATAGATGTATGAGCTGAGAGCAGCCCAACAGAGACAGCCCAAATATGATAGTATTTAGCCAGTCTAACCTAATCTTCCTTCCTTGAAGAGGTCTTTTTGATATCTGGCAGCATATTTACTCTATGCATTATGATGTTAAGTATTATAAGAAGGAGAAGCAGTTGCAGGTCTCCTTCTCTACCAAAATAGAGGAGGAACTGCCAGGAATGGCAGCTCTGTTGCAGCCAGGCCAGATGTAGTCTTATTGGACCAGACTGAAATAACCACTAAAACTGGGCATATAGCTAACACACTGGCTGATGAATATTTCTGTTACTGTCTACTCAGACCATTAGATGAAATTTCTTTTCAATTGGCAAAAATAAAATTACTTCATTGTTTGACCTTGAGGATCTTTTCACTCTCTAGCTGTATGCCATAATCAAAGCTGCAGGAGCCCTGGTCTATGTCATCTTCCCAAAGGCAGCCAGTCACATGCTGGTCTCCTATATTGATGCTCATAATACTCATCGGTTCTGGAGAACAGGGAATGGAAAGGATCCTTCCTGTATGTATTGGTAAGATCAGTGCTTGACAGGACAGAAGTTATTCTAGAATACAGTGTTGGTCATTTCAAAGTCCCTAGACATGGCCTGCTATGCCAAATCCAGCCTTCTGCCAGTTTCTGCAAACAAAGTTTTGTTTGCCCATTTATTTATGTGTTGCTTAGGGCTGATTTCCCACTACAACATCAGAGCTGAACAGTTTCAGCACAGACTATTTAGTCTACAAAGCTGAAGATGTTATCTGCTCCTTCATAGGACAAGTTTGGCAAGCCCTGATTATTGCATGTTGGTATAACCCCTTGGAAATGAAGGATAGCTTGCTGCCCTAAGAATCTCCTATATATTACAGATGATACATATCCTGTGTCCTACTTTTATACTTTTATTGGGTACACCAAAAAGGTGCCAATTGCAAGTAAAACTTATAACAGGAGAATGCTCTGAAGTGGGACAGGCTACAGGAGTACGGCTCGGCTGCTCAGGCTACACTGCGATCCTGGGGCATCAGGATGCTGACCAGGATGCTGCATATAACTTGAAGCATGTCCCAATATGATCACAGAGCATGGTCCTGGGATTTTTGAGCAAGCCAACCTACTTTAAGCAGGTACCATTAAAAAGAAGTTTTAGCCCTGGCCAGTTTGGCTCAGCGGTTAGAGCGTCGGCCTGCGGTCCGGAGAGACCCGGGTTCGGTTCCCGCTAAGGGCACGTTCTTCAGTTGCAGTTTGTCCCCGGCCCTGGTTGGTCGTGCAGGTGGCAGCCACTCGATGTGTCCCTTTCATGTCGATGTTTCTCTCTCTCTCTCTCCCTCCCACTCTATCTGTACAAAAGATGGCAAAATGTCCTTGGGTGAGGATAAAATAAATAAATAAATAAAATAAGTTTTAATTTACTTTAGAAAGAGGAAGGGAGAGGGAGACAGAGAGAGAAACATCGCTCAGCTGCCTTCTACATGGCCCCTATTGGGGATCGAGCCCACAACCCAGATTAGGAATCAAACTGGCAACCTCTTGGTGCACAGGATGATGCTCAACCAACTGAGCCACACCAGCCAGGGCTAAGCAGGTACCATTTTCTCAGTAAACAGCTCATGGCTGGCCACTAGGTTCTAACAGACAGCAAATGCCTGACACCGGGAATCCAGATGACCATATCATTAATCCTTTTTGAAGTTTATCTGATCTACCAAATCATAAATAGCATGCATTTAACCAGTAATCTGATATGTAAACATAAGACTGGGCTTATGAATGTCCAAAGGCACAGAATACCCAAACAGGCTAATTACAACCCTTACCCAGTAGGCTTTTCCCCTCAACCAGGGTTATGTCTTCATGGAGGCAGTCCTTATAAATTAGCTGACAAATTTGAGAGATGGAGCATGGTTCATTTGTGATAGTACTAGCCAAAAATGGACTGCTAAAGCATCACAGTCCCTGCAGGGATGGTACTGAAGAATAATACAGAAGAAACATATTCTGATTTGACAAAATTTCAAGCAGTTTCTTTTATTGTCCATTACACTTTTCAGGATGGAAAACCTGTGGTCAGCTTTTTAATCAATTCTTAGACAGTGGTGAATGGTTTACCCAAATGGGATGTAGACCTGAAATAAGAAAGAATGTAAGACTGCTGACAAGAAGAGCTGGGAAAAGATAAAGTAGATGGCTATCTAGAAAGGACACAAATTTGTGTCCAATATGAATTCTTTCCAGAGTGCCCAAAATTGCAGCAGTTTCTTAATCATCATGTGGATAGGGCTGCATCTATATCTTCCTTCCCCAATCTGATACTTGCTCTATGGCCTTATGAGTGACCACAGTAGCAACAATGAGAGGCTTGCACCACCAGTGGCTATAGAGGCTACTGAACACCCTCAAACTAAGATCAATGTGGCTATCCACTACTGGCCAGCACCCACTTGGTCAGCAATATTGGCCAATGGTAAGCCCTTGATTTGTTACCACACCTTGAGGGAACCAGTGAGTTACTTAACACCAGGCTAACTACACTGGGACCTTTCCATGGTTGAGGGGACAATGCCCTGCCCTCACTGGAACTGATACTTACTCTGGATTTGGACTGACCTTTGTAGTCTTTTGCACTCTTAACACCACAACCATGTGTTTTTATAAGTGCCTTGTACATCACCACTACAGTATCATACACAACACCTCCAAGGGCCCACTTCAGTGAAAAAGATCAGACAAGTATCCTGATGTCAACAGGATGCTGTGGACTTCAGGTATCTATCATCAACCAAAAATAGGCCTAAAAAATAATGAAAGGGCTTAGACTCAACACCAGTTATGGACTTGGAAGGTTGGGATGCTATCTTTCAGGAATGTGGTACCTGCTCTGTCCCAGCAATGCATGTAGTATGAGCAAAATATTGTATTATTCCCCCACAGCCAAAAAAACAGGTCTAAGAAACAGGAGGTAGAAATGTGAGTGGACTCTATTAAGGTTATAATTAGTAATCTATTTTAAAAATTGTGTCCCTAGACCTGACTCAGGCTCTGCTGGCCCAACTGGCACATGTACTAGAAAATACATTAAAATTGGTGATCATTTCTAGATGGTTGCATTAAAGGTGATTTTATCTTTTTTCTTTGTGACTTTCCAGCTTTTCTAAAATGACTATGTATTATTTTATATTAAAACATAATTACTAAACAAAAACAAAAACCCACATACACTCCAGAAGCAGATATTCACTGAAAATGGCATATAAGGAAACAAGGGGTTGCTAACAAAATGAGGTAAGATGGGAAAACCAGTGTTCCATTTCTTTGACAGTGGTTACTGTGCAGGAACTCCAGAGCAATTATGGAAACATTTGTAATCTGCCTAAACCTCAGTTTCCTAATCTGTAAAATGAAGATAACTAGTATCTCATAAGGGATGTGAAGGAATACCATAAACAGTAACATCTCTACAGACATGAGTTATTACTACTGGTGGTAGGTGAGTGTCTATGTGCTCAAAGCTTTCAGAAAGAAAACAAGAAAAATTAATTACCTTTGGATTAAAATATCTACAAGACTGTGGTTGAGAGCCTCCAAACAGGGCTATGCGGTAGTCATGTTTCTTTCTTCTGGGCCTTGTGCCTTCCACCAGTTCCTCCCGATCCTCTGGAGACAGGAGATGGTACCTCATTCCACCTGTAGAAAAATACACGGCAGCTCTTTAAGAACTGCAGGTGCATTAATGCTTTGCTGCGGGGGGGGGGGGGGGGGGGGGGGGGGCACCCAAACATAATAGTGCTTTTATTTGTGTAACTTCTTTTTCTACCATCCCTCTATAGCATTTAAGGAAAGAGTGAGGGGGAAGAGACAGGAGAAATGTATGAGGATCTAATCAATTTATTATTCTCAGCAATTACCATTATGCTGATTGCCCCACTCACTTACTACATACCAGTGAATTATCTGGCTCTTCAAGCAATAGCTGCTAAAATACAATTACTGAAATTCCGATCTAACCCGGCGGTTCTCAATATTAAATGTACATTAGAAATCACCTATGAAATCTCTGAAACCAAGCCTGGGCCATACCACAGACTAATCAAAATCTCTGGTGTTTGGGCCCAGGCGCTGGTATTACCACTCAAAATGTAGTTCAAAGCCCTGGCCAGGTTGCTCAATTGGTTGGAGCACTGTTCCGTGCACCAGAAAGGGTTTGAGTTCGATTCCCAGTCATGGTTCGTATGGGAGGCCACTGATCAATGTTTCCTTCCCTCCCTCCCTTCTTTCCTTCCTCTTTCCCTCCCTCTCTCCCTTCCCGTCTCTCTAAAATCAGTAAACATATCATTGGTTCAAGGACCAGCAGCTTCAGCAACAGGGAGCTTGTTAGAATTGAATTACAGAACTTACCCTAAACCTACTGAATCGGATTCTGCATTTTTAACAAAATATCAAGGTATGTAAGGCACACATTAAATTTTGAGAAGTACTGCGTTAGATGATACTAAAATACTGTGAGGCTTCAGAACTATTGTAATTGATATGATTCTTTAGCAATTTCTTGATTTTGTCAATGGCTGTTTAACAAAAACTTCTAAGGTGTTATTTCAGAAAAAGATTGTTCAATAAATGATGTTAAACAATGATATGGAGAAAAAAATTTTACCCCACCTCATATTTACTCTAAAGAAAATTAAAAATTAATAGAGTATCTGAATTTGCAAAAAATCTTATAAACATACTAAAAAAAAAAAAAAAATAGGATAGTTAAAAAAAATTAGGCCCAGAACTGGGAAGCCTAAGAAAAGACAAAAGATATAGAAGCCAGCCCTGGTCAGTTTGGCTCAGCAGTTAGAGCATTGGCCCGAGGACCAGAGAGTCCTGGGTTTGGTTCCCGTTTAGGGCATATACCTCAGTTGCAGTTTGTCCCCGGCCCCAAACACCCGGTTGGGGTCAAGTGGGTGGCAGTCACTCGATGTGTCTCTCTCATGTTGATATTTCTCTCTCTCTCTTCCTTCCTCTCTCCCTCTTGCTCTATCTGAAGATAAATGCAAAAAAATGTCCTCGGGTGAGGATAAAACAACAACAACAACAACAACAAAAGACATAGACGCCATAAAAAAAAAATTCAGACTTAACTACATAGATTTTAAGTTAAATTACAACATGGCAAACAAACAAACAAAAAAGACAATGACAAAAAGATACCCTATTAATTAATAAGATTACGACCAGAAATAGAGTTAGATTAAGTATCTGAACACAGTTCACAGAAAAAGAACTAACTACAAATAACTCTTAAACATCTGAAAAGATACTCAAGTTGGAGAAATACAACTTAAAATCATATTTTTTCTCTTATCAGACTGGCCAAGACAAAACTGTCTGCAACACAGGGGAAGGTGTGGAGAAGCAGCACTCCCCTCCAATGCTGGTGGGGGTGTGGATGAGTACAAACTATCTGGAAGCCAATACAGCGTGATCCACGGAAATTACAAACGCACACACCCTTGAACCAGTAACTCCTCTTATCAACCTATAGTTAGTTCACTGTCAGGTCAATGGTTAAAAATTATGATATATTGCCCTGGCCGGTTTGGCTCAGCGGTTAGAGCGGTGGCCTGTGGTCCAGAGAGCCCTGGGTTCGGTTCCCGCTAAGGGCATGTACCTCGGTTGCAGTTTCTCCCCGGCCCTGGTTGGGTCGTGCGGGTGGCAGCCACTCGATGTGTCCCTTTCACATCGATGTCTCTCTCTCTCTCTTCCTCTCTCTCCCGCCCACTCTATCTGAACAAAAAAATGGAAAAATGTCCTCAGGTGAAGATAAAAAAAATAAAAAATAAAAACAATTATGGTATACCGCCCTGGCTGGTTTGGCTCAGCGGTTAGAGCATCAGCCTGAGGTCCGGAGAGACCTGGGTTCAGTTCCTGCTAGGGGTGCGCACCTCGGTTGCAATTTGTCCCCAGCCCTGGTTGGGTTTGTGGGTGGCAGCCACTCGATGTGTCCCTTTCACGTTGATGTTTCTGTCTCTCTCCCTCTCTCTCCCTTCTGCTCTATCTGAACAAAAAAATGGAAAAATCACCTCAAGTGAGGATAAAAAAAAATATATATATATGGTATACCCATACAACGGAATAGTATATGTGGCTGTTAAAAAGACTGAAGAAGGATGAATATGTAGACATGGAATGGTGTCCAAGAAATAATGTGGAATGCAAAAAAGCAAGATGTAGAAGAGTATACAGTGTGATATCATTGGTTTTTAAAAATTTATATTTTATGCATATATAAATGCATATTTATATATGTAATTTATATAAGCATATGTAAATAAATGTGTATTCACAAACTCAAGACAACCTTTGGAAGAAGAGGGTAGGGAATAAGGGTATCAAAAAGACCTACTTTTCATTATATACTCTTTTATACCTTTTGAATTGTATGTGCTGCACAGTATTATTGATCCAAAAATAAAATAATGTAAATAACTTTCAACACATGCAGAACACTTCTGTTCATCAGGTTGTATTGGGTCTTTCTTTAGAAGAGGCAGAAGACAGGTTAAGAGAAGAGTTTTTGAGTGCATGAAAATCAATATCAATAATTAGCATTTCCTTCCATTTAAGACTTTGATTAGAAGCACGTGGCATTAGAACAGCTGTAAACCTCAGGGACCGAGGCTCTCATGCATGCTCAAGGGTTTACAAACTTTTTCTGTAAAGGACCAAACAGTAAATATTCTAGATTTTGCAGGTCACATATGGTTTTTGTCACATATTCTCCATTTGCTTGTTTTTTACAGTTCTTTAAAATGTAAACACCACTTTTAGTTCAAGACTGGATTTATCCTGTGGGGTATAGTTTGCTGACCTCACCGCCACCCATTCTGCTCTAAGGGTCTAAGACAGTGGTTCTTAAAGTATGCTTCCCTGGAAACTTGTTAGAAATCCAAATTACGGAACACTGCCCCAGTCCTTTTAAATCAGAAACTCTGGGGTTTGAGTTTCTACAAGGGCTCTACACAGATCACAGGTATAATTTGAAATCTAAGGACACAATATTCCCAACAAGAGAAGACAGGTAGCATGGAAGGAGAGACAGGAGGGAACAGGCCACTGGGTAAAGTGGCTGACTGTGGCCAACTGTGTTGACCCCTAAAGGAAGCATGAACTGTGCCTCCTTTATTGATAGGCATTTTCTCTCTAAGGGCAGGGCTGGGGACAAACACTCTGGCCCCTTTCCCTGAGGAACTTCTTGCTCCTTAGGCTTATTCCTTTGGGATTTATTCCTGTGAGAGTCAAGTATTGTCATTTGCAAATTCTACGTTAAGAACTTGGTCAGGCCCTTTGTGGTGGCTCTGACTGTGTTCTTCATTTTTATTTTATAACTGATTTTCTTTTAGTTGTAAGTTATTTTAGTGTAAATTTAGTCTATTTTTTTTTTCTTCCACTCTCAAAAGACAGCAGTAGTCAGATGACAGTAAGATGTCTGATAATTTGAAGAAGGGAGACTGGAGGCCTTCTTTCTCCATTTAGCTCCGCCCAGGCCCCAAAATCTCAAAGACTCTCAGCTGCTTATGTTTAGTCATAAAATTTTAGAACTCATTGCTCTTTATTTTTAAAAAATGTAATAAACAATAAGACCTCAAGAGCCTAATCCCTATACTTGGTTGGATTTCTGGAATAGTCCTGCTATCCTGTTTCTAAATCAATTCAGAATCCACATCAGAACTAAATACTATACTTGACTACAAATGGCTAGTTGTCTTCAACAGCTCCCACCATGCATGAGGAAACAGGTGCAGCCTCTGCCCAATGAAATGCTAAGGCCAGAAGTATAATACAGTTTGGGAATGAGGCATAGCAAAAAACCTGACATTAACATGTATGAAATGAAAAGATGAAAAGCCCTAATATAGAAACATCTTATTGGTCCCAATTTTCTATCATCTCTCTGCATTTAAGAGACTAGTGGCCACCTATGTTCTACTTCTTACAACTCTACACCTTGGTTTTCAACACACCAGTCTTTGGTTTAAGCAGCTCCGTGAATTCTTCTTCCCTGGTTCTTTTCCGCCTACCACCCCTTAAATGTAGATATTAACAAGGCTATGTCCTTGAGTCATAGATACCCTTTTCTCTTTTTCCCTTAACGCCTTAACTGGATTCAAATATCCAAGTCTTTAAAAAAAATGTATTTCTATTTAACGAAAATTTTTCTTAACTTCCAAATTATGGCGCAAGGGGAAGTGATACTACTTAATAGTTAGGACACTCAACCTTATTACTCTTGAGAAGGATGCGTTAGGCAGGCATGAAAGCGCTCAGTTCTCTTTTATTTCCTTAACTCTGTGCCTGAAACTAGCTACACCTTAAACAAAATGTCCAGATGAAGGACCAATAACAATGTAAGGTTCAAAGTAGGTTCCAGCTACCTTCTACTAGGAGCTTTCTTGCTCATTACATACAGGCACACGTCAGAGATGCTGCAGGTTCAGTTCCAGACCACCACAATAAAGCAAGTATTGCAATAAAGCCAGTCATAATTTTTTTGCTGGTGGAGGGTCTTGCCTTCAATTTGTAAAAAAACCCAACATCCAAGAAGCACAATAAGACAAGGTATGCCTGTATTAATTGAAATCTATACTGCTGTCCCATTTAAAAATTATCTGGCTACGACGATTACCTTAGTTTGCCCAAGAACTGAGAAGCCCACTCACATATACAGACTTATCCTATCAGTTTTATAATAGCTCACTCTTATATGATTCACAATAAAACCAAACATTTAAGAAAAGTTTCCAAGAACAACAAAAAGAGAAAAATGTTCAAAAGCAATACAGAAAATGCAGACAAGAAAAATCAAAGGCACTATAATACTATTTTAGAATAAGATATTATAGATATGAAATAAGAAATTAGAGAATAAGTAAAAGCTCACAGAAATTAAAAAGAGCTGAAATAAAAATTAAGGAAAACTACCAGAAGACAGAACAAAGAGGCAAAGATGGATAAGAAGAGAGACTCAATTGCTGAAGAATCACACTACCAATAGTAGAAAACTGAGAAATCTGAGGCTGACAAGAGAGAATACCCAAGATAATAATAAAAAAAAAAAAGCCCTGGCAGGTTTGGCTTAGCAGTTAGAACATCAGCCCATGGACCAATGAGTTGCGGGCTCAATTCTGGTCAAGGGCACGTACCTCAGTTGCAGTTGGTCCCTGTCCCTGTTCGAGGTTGTGTGGGAGGCAACCAGTCAATGTATCTCTCTCACATCAATGTTTCTTTCTCTCTTCCCCTCTCTCTCTTTCCCTCCCTCCATCTGAAGAAAAATAGAAATATATACTTGGGTGAGGATTAAAAAAAAAAAAAGGATAAGAGATTTTTCTTTCTTACAGCTGCATAGAATTCCATTGTATTTATGTATCACAGCTTTTTGATCCACTCATCTACTGATGGACCCTTGGGCTGTTTCTAGATCTTAGCAATTGTAAATAGTGCTGCTATGAACACAGGGGTACATATATTGTTTCTGATTGGTGTTTCAGGCTTCTTAGAGTATATTCCTAGAATTGGGATCACTGGATCAAATAGCAGTTCAATTTTTAATTTTTTGAGGTAACACCATATTGTTTTCCATAGTGGCTGCATCAGTCTGCATTCCCACCAGCAGTGTACTAGAGTCTCCTTTTCTCCACACCCTGGCCAGCTCTTGTTGTGTGATGATTTGTTGATGGCAGCCATTCTGACAGGTGTGAGGTGATACCTCATAGTCGTTTTAATTTGCATCTCTCTGATGATTAGTGACACTGAACATTTTTTCATATGTCTCTTGGCCATTTGTATGTCTTGTCTGGAGCATGAAAGGACCTGGAGAGTATTATCCTAAGTGAAACAAGCCAATCAGAGAAAGACAAATATCATATGATCTCACTCATTTGTAAAATATAATGAACAAAAACAAGCTGAGGAACAAAATAGACCCAGAGACATGGAAGTGGGGTGCAGACTGACAAACTTCAGAAGAGGTGGATGTGGGGGAAGAGAAGAGATAAACCACAGAACTTTTATACATGTATGTGTAAACAAAGACATAGACAATATTGCTGGGAGGGGGTGGTGAGAGTGGGAGGAGGGAGTCAATGGGGGAGAAAAAGAAAAACATCTGTAACAAAAATAAATAAATTAAAAAAATAAAAAAATAAAAAAAGATGCACACCAACATACATTATTGTGATATTTCAAAATATCAGGGACAAAAAATAGAAGACTTTATATGTTTACAAAGAGAAATAAAGGATCAGATTGGCATCAGATTTCTCAAAAGTAAAGCTGGAAGCTAGTAAATGATGGAGCAATGCCCTCAAAATTCTAACTGAACAGGGTTTTCAACATAATTCTATAACAAGTATAACGAACTATTGCTCAATCTTATGGTAAATAAAGATATGAGATTTGTCAAGGCTCCAAATATTTACTGACTGTATACTCTTTCTCAGAAACCTCTGGGGATACGCTCTATCACACAGAGAGAATTAAGAAAGAGGAAGACCTGGGGTCTAGGCAGACAGCAGATCTAACATAGGAGAGGAGTAAAAGGACACCCCAGGATGGCTGAGAAGGGAAGCCCAAGGATAGAAATTGTGCCTTAGGCCTAGAGAGCAAACAGTCCACATTGGGACAGGCAGAGGAAGATCTATGAAGGATATTTCCAAGAACTAAAATAAAGGTAAAAGATTGTTTAATTGTACAGTCAATTTTATCAAGTGGCATTTTACAAAGGGGTTGGGACTTAGCCTGCAAGTAAAGAAAAACTAAGTAAATGAAAAAAATGTGGCAATTATTAGCGTCAGGCCAAAACAAAAACAAAAACAAAGCTGTTTATGAAAGAAAATGTGAACACAGTACACTCTTTGGCTAAATAAAATAACAAAGGAAATACTAGAAACAAAGTACATGAAAGTTATCGTACACAAAAGGAGACAAAGCATTAAGTATACACACACACACACACACACACACACACACACACACACAAACACCCTCTCGCATTAAGTACACACACACACACACACACACACACCCTCTTACATTCTATCACACATGTCCTTATAAATAAGGGCTGTGGTTAAGTCCCCTCCAAGTAGACAGCTGAGAATCCCAATGGATTAATTATATGGAAGAGCAAAGTCTTGAATGTTTCTCCCTGGCTACTGAGTCTGATTCATTTAAAGGGTTTTTGAAGCCCATGAAAAACTGGTTACATGATCAGGTTATAAATAGATATTAAGGCAACTTACTTATCACCATCTTAAGGCATTCAGGATTGTCTTGAATAAGTGGTTCAGCTTGTACTGTTTTACTTAAGAAATTCTTTGATATAAGAGGAAACCTGACTTTAGCAAGGATATCAACCATAAATGGCTGGCGATTAGGTTCATCGTATTTCAACCACCTGACTGCGGCATCATAAACCTAAGGGGGGAAAGACAGCATAGTAAAGTTCTTAGATGGCAGGAACATTTCCAATTACCTAGATTTATTCTTACATTGAAGGAGAAGAATCTCATAACCACGTATTCCCAATATTTTATTCAGATATTTGCTTTCATCCTCAAAGACTTGCCTATACTTCAGAACAGTTTACATGCTGCTCTAGTGATTCTTTCAGGTAACATGTTTTTTAGAACTAATTATTACTACATAATGTAGTGACAGAGAGAATGTTGAATTTATAATTTTTAAAAACAAACGATCACTTGCTTTTTGGAAGGAGATATGATGCATATTTCTACTGAAAAAACAATAACAAAACGATTGGTCAATGATAGTTTTAATATATGTCCATTTGGTAACAGGAAAATACGTTAATTTCCTAAGAGGCCTTCCATCATCCCAAAAGATGTGAAGGTAACCTATGATTTTATTTCAATCTAATATTCCTGAATTGTGAAATGACAGACTTATCTGCTTTCCAGAAAACTTGATAATATACAAATTCTATATTTAGAAAATAAATTACAGGATTTTAAAAATAAGAACTGTTTTCCAAAACAATACTGTGGCATTCATTTAACTGTACCAAACAAGTCCAAGTTTATTAACATAATTTGATTAACAAATCACAGTTTAAACACACTGAAAACAAACATTATTTCATATACACACATATCTACCACATAGATACCTGAGCTAGTTAAATTTGTTAATTTTGGGTTGGTGGTAATAAGGCCTAAGTTCTCTGATCTCCCTGAGTTGGTTAATTTTTTTTTTTTTTATAGGAATTGATCTATTTTGTTTAAATAAGCTTTCTTTTGGAACAGTTTTAGATTTACAGAAAAGGTACAAAGATAGTTCAGAGTTCCCAAACACCCAGTTGTTAAAATGTTATATTAATATGATACTCCTGTTACAACTAATGAACCAACATTGATACATTATTATTAACTGACGTCCATACTTGTAAACAATTCCTTTAGTTTTTATCCAATTTTCTTTTTCTGTCCCAACCCCATAAAGGATCCCACATTACATTTAGTTATTATGTCATCTTAGGCTCTTCTAGACTATGAAATTTTCTCAAACTTTTGTTTTTGATGACTTTCACAGTTTTGAGTTCTGGTCAGGTATTTTGTAGACTTTCCCTCAATTTGGGTTTATCTGATGTTTTTCTCATTGTTAAACTAGGATTGTAGATTTTTGGGAGGAACACCACAGAGGTGACATTCCGTTCCCATTACATTATATCAAGGGTATATGCTAGCAACAATGACGTATCACTGACGATGTTAACCTATAGGCAGTATTTGTTAGGTTTGACCACCTGTAGGTAGTGTTTGTCAGGTTTCCTCAGTCTAAAGTTACCTTTTCTTCTCTTTCCATTCTGCATATAATCAGTTAATTTTGACCAAAGAACTGAACTTTTTCTTTTTGTCTAGTCAGGTCCTCCAGGTCCAAACTGTGAACTTGCAAACTAATACTCTGGGCCATGAAGAAGACTGGACAAAAGAACATGGCTCAGTGCAAACCTTTTATATTTAGAACAAAAACAACTCAAAACCTATACTCTTACAGTATCTCTATTAGTTTTCTATTGGTGCTGTTAACAAATTACCACAAACTTACTGGCTTAAAATACAAGGAAGGACGTGGGACTGCGAAGAGGGTTTATGTGAATGTCTGCATATCAAGGTGTTACCACACCTCATTCCCAAATACCTCTACCCAGCTTACACCTTTGACAGTGTAGTTTTGAAGGCCAGAGTCCAATATGGGTCACACTGGGCTATAACAAAGTGTCAGCAGGGCTGCCTGAAGGCTCTAGAGGAGAAACCACTTCTTGCCTTGGCCAGATCTAGCAGCCACTTGCACTTCTTGGCTTGCAGCCCCTTCCTCTATCTCCAGAGTAAGCAATGGCCAGCCAAGCCTTTCTCACATCACATCACCCTGACACTGACTCTTCGGCCTTCATTTTCCACATTTAAGGACCCTTATGATTACATGGGGCACACTGGGATGATTTCCTCATCTCAAGATCCTTAACCTATTCATATTTTCCGGGGATTAGGATATAGACATCTTTGGGGGAGGCACTGTTTTGCCTACCATGGTACCCAATAGCTTTATCTCTACCATAGCCAGCCCTTACAAGCACCCAAGACTTACTTTTCCTATGAAACAGATTTTGGAATACTCTGTTTAATGTAAAAAACACATTCTCTCCTAATTATGATTCTTTTCCTTGCCATGTATCCCAATATGAAGCATAAGAGATCAATAATGACATTTTTACCAAGAAAAAATGTGAGAAGGCAATTTAGTCACCTGATCCTCTGCTCTCACAGTCAGAGTGTCCTGGTTGAGGAGATGTGTAACTCGCTTGACATCAAGTTGTAGAAATTCATCAGTTTTATAAACTTCAGTAAAATGCTGATGAATAAAGTCATCTGCAGTTGCTTTTAATTCAGGACAGTCCAGACACTCTGCTAGCACACTTATACCTGAACACAGAAGAAAATGAATAGAAAAATTATTTAAAAAAAAAAACCCAAAAAACCTAAACCTACGTTAAGGATAAAATATGAATTTCATAATCTGGATTCTTTTGTTCCACTGATTTCTTTTATGTCATCTTATGTATGGTTGATTTTGATATTTTCTAGGACAAGCCCCCTTCAACATTTTTCCAAACTTTTCTTGGCTATTGTTAAATAATTTCTGTTGCATATTAATTTTAAAATAAGCTTAACACATTCTACTTTAAAATTTTTGATGCGATTTTAGCTAAGATTACACTTAATTTTTAAATTACTTTGGGGACAACGCCTGCTCTGCAATCTGGAGGAGCTCCACTTAGGAACATGGCATATCTCCATTTATTCAGATTTTTTATTGTCAATATAATTATACAATTTTCTTCATAGAAACCCTAAATTTCCCATTCAGCCTTTTCCTAGCTATTTTAATTTTTGTTTGGGAGATAAGTTAGTAATTGATTATTAATGTTACATTATCAAGAATCTACAAAGTACTAACTGTTCACGGGTTAAATCCAGCCCACATTCAGCTAAAGGGTCAGCAGCTAAGAATATTTTTTTATATTTTTGAAGTGGTGTAAAAAAAAAAAAAATAGGGCAAATAGGAAGAAGGAGGGGTAGGGGAGGCAGCGGAGAGGGGAAGGAAAGGGAATAGGAGAAGGAGGACAAGGAAGAGCGACAAGGACCACATGTGACATAGGCCTAAAGCACTATCTCACACCCTGGCCAGTATTGCTCAGTGGTTAGAGCGTCAGCCGTGGACCTGAGAGGCCCGGGTTCAATTCCTGCTAAGGGCACATACCTCAGTTGCAGTTTGTCCCCGGCCCCAGTTGGGGTCGTGTAGGTGGCAACCATTCGATGTGTCTCTCTCACATTGATGTTTCTCTCTCTCTCTTTCTCCCTCCTGCTCTATCTGAAGATAAATGCAAAAATGTCCTTGGGTAAGGATAAAAAAAAATAAAATAAAATACTATCTCGCCCTTTAGAGAAAATATTTGCCAAACTCTCTCCTAAATAAAATAATTAATTATTGTATGTGGTCTCCCTTCAAAGTCACGAGGTAAATTTTTTCAGTTCATTATCTTGATTTTCCATGTTTCAACTTCATGTTGTCTTCAGATAATGAGTTTTGAAGCTTTCATATTTATACCATATAGGCCCTCATAATTGATGCTGCAAATAAAAACTTGTCATTTTATTTTTTTTTAATTAATTTTAGAGAGAGAGGAAGGGAGAGGGAGAGAGATGGAAACACAGATGAGAGAACATTGGTTGGCTACCTCCTACATGCCCAACACTGGGGATGTGGCCTAAAACCTGGGCATGTGCCCCTGACTGGGAATTGAACCGGCAACCTCTTGATGCATGGGTCTGACGCTCAACCACTGAGCCACACTGGCCAGGCTAAACTTGTCATTTTATAAATGTGCTGACTAATGCATAGCATGGGAGATTTTCATGGTGAGCAGTCGGTTACATCTATACACGTATGTTCCCATCAGGTGATGTTTTCACCAAGAATCAGTATTTGTTTACTGACTAGTTTTTGGCAGTTGAATTTGTTGCAATTATGCAACCTAATTAAATACCACACAAAGGAACAAAATATAAATGTGAAAAGTAGTTGTTCCTATGAAAACTAATCTTGATGTTTAAAACAGATGAGAAAAAAGCTCATATTAGGCATGACCAAGATGACTGATAAAATCTGGGAAAACACTGCAAAATTTTAGAGGGATTGTGTACTCAGACTCTCATTAAGTTATTACTGTTTCTCCATCTGTTCCTTCTGAAATCCCTACTTCAAATTATTGTCCTTGGATCTTCTTTCCTTGTCTTTTATCTTCTCAATAATCGTTTCCATTTCTTTGCATTTTTGTTTTGTATCATGAGGCAATTTCCTGATTGACCTTTAAATTTTTGGTATTCCATTCTACTTTTTTTTAATTCAATTGAATTTCATGGACAATCACCCTCCCCACCCCACCCCACTGTCAAATGCATCCTTTCTATTTTTAGTTCTCCTCCATTTCTTACATTAAACTTGGCTATAGGAGCCATTCATTTTGGCTGTTTAGCTTGAGTTCCCGTCCCTCAAATCACTGGGTTTCCTTCAACTTTGTACGTATGACCTTTGCCTAATTCCATCAGCTGTCATGAATTCCTTTAGCATTCACAGAAGTCAGATTGTTGGGGGCTTCTGGGCAGCAGAAATTGGTAAGTGATGAAAAATAAGACAGGAGTTCTCCAACTGGCTTGCAGGGAGAGCCATATTCAGGGTTAAAAAGAAAGCAGGCTGGAGCACTTCCCTGGGTTACTGAGTAGCTGCACTTGGCTCAACTGGCTGGGTCACTGTCTTTGCCCCAGGCTCCCTTCTAGGCTGCTAGGACCTTCCTCCCAGCTATGTAATCAATGATGACAGAAGGCATCCAGAGGTAAAACTCTTAAATGGTCTCCTCGGAAGCCCAAAGCTTAAGATGTAGTTAGCACAAACTTGCTTCAGGTTACACACTATGCTTTGTACTGCCACATCCACTCCCTACATTCGAGATGAATCATTCCAGAATGAAATTTAGAGTGCTAGGAGTTAGGGAAACATATTTTAGCTTATCATCTTCTAAATCTTTAAAATCCTTCTTTATATTTTTGAGCATATTTACTTATATAAGGGAAATAAATCTCATAATTATAAATCTTATTGATAAATGGAGCCCCTAATTATGGCCCAGAGAAACAGAGGGACTCATCCCAGAGTGTCTATTGGAAATGAAGGCTGGCCTTCTATTTCCTAAGATAGGGATCTTTGCACTATGTAAACCAATGGCTACCTTAAAAAAATGTCATTAGTATATTCACCTGCACAGCTGTTTCCCCTCCTGTTCTATCTGGTTCAGTTCCTTTCCTGGAAACCAGAAACAATCTCCTTCTCATCCCCTTTGCCTAGCTTTTATCCCTCTATAAAATTTACTCCGCTTCCTTTCTACCTGCCTTCTAAGATCTTTTTCTCTGTGCTCACAGTGGGAGTGTGTGCCAGATGAAGTCAGGAAACTGTCTAGGAGGAGGGGAGCCTAGAAAAGGGGAACACAGGAGGCTTGCAAAACTCCTCGTGCATCTCCAGGAGCCCTGTGCCCCAGGCTTTGGCTTCTTGTCATCAGCACCCCTCATCTTCTCCTGTGGGTCAAAAAAATCTTTGCATTGGCTGAATTCCCAGGCCTCTCTTTCTACTGTCCTTGGTTCTGCTTTCTTTCCTAGACTCCTACCCTGATCCTCTTCCCCTCTGAATCACAGCAAGGGCAAGAAAGTTTAATTACAAGGACCTGGATGTTCATTCATGTGCTGCTAAGCATGATCTCCCAGTGGAAAGCATACCACTCCTCATTCTAAAAAAACTCTATCAACCTCCTCTGCTTCACCTAGTATCAAACACAAAATACTCTATTAATGGAGCACTATAGTAGTCCCTTGATTAGTATCTTAATTTACAGTCTAGGATTTTTAAGTCTTCTAGTATACAATAGTTAGCATATCTGACAGTGTGAAGAGGCAGAAATGTGTAGTTAAGGATAAGATTACTTGAATTCCAACCCCAACTCCTCCACATACCAGCTATATGACTTCAGCAAATTACATAACCTCAGTTTCCTTATCTGTGACAGACCACAGTAATCATAAGGGCTTCACAAAGGTAAACAGTCATATTTATGTTATCATATATCACACACCACCACCAGATGCAATCCTAACTCCTTGTCCAGAAAAACAAAAACTCATTACTAAAGCTACTTTATATTTGGGAATATATTGATACAGTATTTAATGAGCTCACTGCTGCCCAAGTTAATATAAACTTCCCTAGGCTCTTCTGCAAATGTATTACTAGAAAAATTTCTAGTGAACAATGTCTTTAAGATTAAATGAGAATACGGATAACCACAGTTTTTTTTTTTTCTTTACTAAAATACACATTAAAAGTTTTTTTTTTTAAAAAAAAAGGAAATTAGCCTGGCAAGAGCGTTGGCCCGCACACCAAAGAGTTGGAGGTTTGATCCTCGGCCCTGGTTGGGGTTGTGTGGGAGGCAACCAATCAATGTGTCTCTCTCACATTGATATTTCTCTCCTTCCCCCTTTCCCATCTCCCTCCCACTCTCCCTAAAAAAATTAGTGGAAAAAATATCTGGGTGAGGATTAACAACAACAACAAAAATAGGAATCTGATTGCTTACCAAGACAATTTGAAGCATCAACTTGTTCTTTCAAAAAATCAACACACATTTTCTTCACAGGTTCAATCTGGTACTGGTTTGCTGCATCTAATAAAGACTGAACGTTGTTGCTATTCACAGAAATTCTGCAGATAAGTTAAAGTAAATATTAATTTCCTATAATGTTTTATTGAAATAATGCTACTGTAGATTGTATCCCACTAGCCCTGAAATTAAGCAAACAATTAAACTTTTCAGTCCTTGAGTTAGTATGACAGAGGATCTTCAACTCTTCAACTCTCCACTCCTAGCTACACAACCCCCTCCCCCCACCCCTGGAAAAACCTTCAAGTTTTTCATTCTGAAGAATCTGGAACACAATGATTTGTTACAATGCTTTGATAGATCCCAACCTTACTCCTACACAACAGAAATAATCCTTCTTAACTTACCTAGCAGTATAAGCAAATTCCACAAGTTGTTCAATAATGTCAGGTTCAGCATCTTTGAGTTCTACCTCAAAGGACTTTGATTCAAGCATGTTAGCTAAAATTAAGAGAAGTAAAGATGGCATGAGTACTGCCACTGAGGAATGAGATCATGCCACGTTAAATATAGAGAGGAATAATACGAGAGAGACTTCTCTGGAAAAAAACCCAGAACGCCCAACATTCCTATAATAAAAGCAAATTAATTCTCCACTGGAGATATGCTGTAAATTAAAACAATCTAAGAAATTAGTGAATTAGTGTACTTCTTTTAAAAAAGGCACCCAAGTGAACAGAGAGACATAAAACTAGATTTAGTATTTACCCAACTCCTAAAATAATTTAGTAGCACTCTTTTAAACTGCTATGAGCAAAATGCCTCTGATATAGCTAAAACAAATATGTAAGAACAATGACCATTATATATAGTCAGCTACAACTAGCAAAGCTCTCATTCTTCCCCCAAACCCTGCAGGTAGCCAGAGTATCAAAGAGAAAACTTGAGGTAGATACAGTTCATAACCTGATCAAGCTCATAAAATAGTACTCAGTAGAGGAACCAGGACTTGGACCCAGTTCTCAACTCTAAATCTAGGTTCTTTCTAGTATGATATGCTACATTTCTTTTTTCATTTTTATTTAGTTTAACTTGCTAGGTAAAACGTCATAAGGTTTACCTGTTCCTTTGCCTTTCCACCAGAGGTTAAGAAGAAAACCCTAAGCACTCATTAGAAGCTATATCTCCATCAATCAAGACTGTGGGCCTTCAGGGCTAATGAAAGGACATGTTTCCTTTGATTAATCGTCACCATGACCATCTGCAATCTTTTCACTGTTCTATGGCCTTAATTTCTTAAATCCTTTAAAAATTAAGAAAAACAGCATATTTTCATTTAGACCCACCTCATTCTCATAGAATAAATAATATGTTTGACTTTAAGATACTTACTTGTGAACATTAAGTTAAAGAAATGACTGGCTGCAGCAAGGACAACACGATGTGCAGGTATTTTTCTTTCCTGAACCATAAGGATCACATCACACAACGTTTTCTAATCAAGAGAGAAATAAATAAAATCAAAAGGGGCTCATTGGGCCTAGTTTAGTAAACATACAAAATAAGTTCTTGTCAAATGCTTTATCTCTATTTTCTATTTAAATCTGGTCTTTTTTCCAGTACATAATTTGTTTATCATGTAAGACCTATTTAGATTTACAGAGCTGCTGCCATGAGTTTGCAGTATCAAAACCAGGTACTGAACTTCCCAACAGTCAGGAAAATCTTCATAATCAGCAAAGAAGTAGTATACTAATCTTTCAGGGAAGCCTTTTTTTCCCCCTCTGAGAGAAATTCTAAGCTATCTATCATAGTGAGATTTTATGGGGACAGTAAATGACATAATGACAATGTCCTTGATGGTTTTACAAATATAACAATCTGTTTTTTAAAATGATCTATTCTTGATAAAATCCAGAGTACACACTGCATTTCCCAAGACACTAGCCTTCAGAAGATCTTTTCTTAAATAATACTTCTCTCAAATGTACTTCTGATAGAAGTTGGATATCAGTCACTTTAAATTGTGATTTCTCACCTAGGCCAAAATAATGTCACTCTAGGCTGCTGAAAGGCGGCAGATTTTGATTAAATACTTAAAATGTTGGAAAAATGGACTATTAAAGAATAAAAAGGTTTACTAGAACCATTAGAGATGAATTTCAAGGAAAAGAAATGTCCTCCTCAGTAAAATAAAAGTTCTATTTCTTCATGAAGCTAAATATATAATGTACAGATAAGACTTGGAAAATGTACAGCCTGGGATATGGTAAGCACTCTTTTAGGCAATGGGATGATGAGGAAAACAGTATATTTAGAGTTTATAAAAAAAAATATCACTCAGAAATCTAAATAATGGCTTAGTAGCTCAGAGGAGATGGCATTTTGCAAATATATATCTCCTTACCCAAGGGTATTTTTCCAATTGATCTTTTTTTTTTTTTTGATGGAGGGGTAGGGGGAGAAACATCGATGCCAGAGAGACACATCAATCGGTTGCTTCCCCAACAACACCCACCAGGACTAGGGATTGAACCTGCAACCCAGGCACGTGCCCTTGACCAGGAATCAAACCTAAGACCCTTTGGTCCTGGGGCCGACACTAACTGCTGAGCCATACTGGCCAGGGTGCATTTTGCATTTTTAAAAATCAATAAGGGAATAAAAGACTTGGGTGAGAGTGGCAAGAACACAGGCAAGGAGAAGAGCTGTAAGGCTAGTGCAATATACCAGGAGACAGATTACTGTGACTTAAACCAGGTGATAAAAAGTAGTCAGATTATAGGTATATTTCAAAGGTAGAGCCAACTAGATTTGCTGGTAGAATAAATGTAGGAAGAGAGGAAGACAAGAATCAAGAATGATTCCAAAGTCTTCTGCCTGAGCAACTGAAAGAATAAAGTGACCATTTAGTGAGATGGGAAAGACTTTAGAAGCAGGTTTGACAGTGGCACAGACTCTGGAGGGGGCTGTGCAGGAATGGTGAATTAAGAGTTCAGTTTTGGCCAGCAGGTGTGGCTCAGTGGCTGAGTATCGCATTTTGCATTTTTAAAGTATTTTGCTGGAACTATTAATCTAGCTTCTGATAGATAAATTACTGCTATTTTCTACTTTATTACTCCATGAAAAAAAAATCTATATAAGATGGTAATACTTATAACTAGAAAGAAAATGGGCCCCAAACAGTAGGCTAAAGGATGAACAAAATTTCACTCTTATGCTTTATTTGAAGACATTTTATAAGGCCTTTGGACTATTGCTTAGAAAGTATATGCAGATTATTTAAAGTTAAAGCTATTGTTATCTCAATAATATCTTGAATTAAAAAAATTATTTCCTTTTATTTGGGGACAGGGTTCAGTGTAGGCATAGCTCTCAGGTGATTTTGCTACATACCACACCAAGCCCCCCACCCCCAAAAACCCAGGTGCAAAAAAACCAAATCAACTATATGGTAATCACCAAAACAAGCTGATCAAATTAAGAGAAGAGAAGAGAAGAGAAGAGAAGAGAAGAGAAGAGAAGAGAAGAGAAGAGAAGAGAAGAGAAGAGAAGAGAAGAGAGAGAATGAAAGGGAGAAGGGAAAGAAGGAAGGAAAGGAAGGAGGAAAAAAAAAGAATACTGACAGAACAGCAAGCAAATCAGGTAGGGGAGGCATTTATGGCTGCTGATGGGAAGTTCCAGAAAATGTAGAGAGCTAAACTGAAATGTGGCAAAAAATCTTTCCAAAGCATACTCAGCAATAGGGAATTTCAGTGGAGCAAATTCATAGGCACTGAAGGAAATTACAGAAATCAGAGGGATCTTTATAGAGCAATTTAGTCTTAATCTAAGATCAATCTCCAGCTGGATATTAATGTGTGTGTAGCGGGAGGGTGGGATGAAAGGGGAGGAGTCTTTTGTATCTAAGTGGTACATTTATCTGATTGTACTACAATAGATTGATAGGTTTCAACAAGAGATGGGACTGACCTAGAGAGAGGTCCCTCCTGCTATCAGTCATCTGGGGAAGAGATGTATCCACAGATTAAGAAATGGGAAGAGAAAGAGACTCAGGTAAACTGGAGAATGTGAGAGGTAACAAGTCCGAGGTGGATTAAAGAGAAACTTAAAGAAAAAAAACCACCTGTTGAATAATACATGTTCACTGAATAAAACAAGAAAAATAACCCTTGCAATTTCTCTATGTCCCTCATATTAGTTATATCTTTGCATTAATTTCAGCTTTTGAATATTTAGACTCTTCTAAACAGCATAGATGTTTGTGTGAATTCATCTGAAGCTCTCATCATCTAAGATTATTTTTAGTAGGGTTTAGTTTAATCCTTCATATTTATTATTGATAACTTATGTTTTACCTTACAAATGCCATCTTCTTTTATGCTATTTATTATGCTTCCTTGCTGTCTTCTTTTTTCTTTACTGCCAGCTGCTATTTTGGTCACTTTTTCTTTGCACTTTTTTCTTCCTTTAGGGACTGACTGACAGAAATGTCAACTATTTGGATTCAACAGGGTATTAGTCAACTATTTCTCTAGGAATGCAAGGAGGGTTCAAAAGAATAATTCTATTAATACAATTCATCATATAGACAGGTTAAAAGACAAAATATTCATGTAGAAAGACTTCAATACATGACAAAAGGGTGTTGGATAAAATTAAAAATTCATTTCCTGAGACTCTTTAATAAAGAAAATGATGTGTCTGTGCACTAAAGGCCATTTATCAGCAAACATCACATATAATGGTGAAACAAGAGAGGCGTTCTCATTCAAGTTTGAAACATGTGGGAATTGGGTATATGATAAAGATACCATTTCAAAAATGTGGTAAGAGAGTGGAACATAGATGAAGTTTAGGGCAATAAAACTATTTTGTATAATACTGTAACATTGGATTCATGTCATTATACATTTCTCAAAACTCAAAGAATGTACAACAGAAACAGTGAACCCTAATGTAAACTATCTTAATAATAATGTAACAATATAGACATATTTTTATTGTTGTTAATTCTCACCTGAGGATATTTTTTTCCATTGATTTTGAGAGAGTGGAAGGGAGGGAGTTAGTGGGTGGCGGGGAGAGAAACATTGATGTAAGAGAGATGCATCAAATCTGCCCCTGACCAAGAATCAAACCCATGACCCTTCAGTTTGCAGAATGACACTCTACCCACTAATCCACACCGACCAGGGCAATAATGTAACAATATTGGCTCAATTGTAACATGTTCACTATACTAATGCAAGATATTAATAATAGGGGAAACTGTGGGGGCAAGAGAAGAGGGTAAATGGAAACTCTCTGCACTTTCTGCTCAATTTTTCTGTAAACCTAAAATTGCTCTAGACAAATAAAGTCTATTCATTTAAAAATGTAGTGAGAGATCAGATAATTGAAAAAATGGTATTAGGGTAACTATTACACTTTTAAGGAAAACATTAGATTTCTGGCTCTTCATGTACTCTCTCTTCCTCTGGGAAGGTAAGTTTCAGTCTTTTTCTTGACCTGTCACTTGTGGAGTGACTATAGGATGGGTGAGACTATGGCAGTGGTCACACAGAGCCAGGCCTCCTGGCTCATTCTTCTTTCATAAATCTGCCCCCAAGTGGAACACAGCTCCTTAGGGCAGACTTGTCCCTGATGCAGGACGGGACTGTTCCCATTCCTCAGCTGCTCTGCCTCACACTGGTGGGTAAATTTAGTTTAGGGGAGAAAGAAGAGGAAGCCTGTTTTTATGCTCAGGTCAAAGCCATGTTCTCTCATCTGTTACCATTAATTTATCCATCTCCTGAGTCTATTTCTCAGACATTTAGAACCATCGGTGGAAGAGGGCCCCTCAAATCCATATGCACAGATAATCGAAGCACCATAGAGGAGACAGAGACTTTGGGGCTGATTTAGTGTGTTCAAGTAGAGGCTTCTGAGGAAAGAGACCCTTTGTTAGGAAAGACCTCAAAACAGGCAAGCACTTCAGGCATGTGTTGGTGGAATGACCTTTTGCTCTCTTTACGAGTTTGCAAGAAAAAACTGCAAAGGCAGCCAGGTTCCATGTAAGCTCTACAGCACTGTATAAGGTTCTGGCTTTTAAAAATATGTGCTGGCAGTAGTAGGAAGCATGTAATCAGCTATTCCAAATTCTATTCTTCAGTGTATCCCAAGGAGAGGACTGAGGAATGACTAACCTTCGGATTTATGTAGTATGTCAAGAGGTTCTGCAATCAAGTCCTTCCCAGTGTGATTTCAAGTTGGCCCTGGGTCTAAATACCTGAGCAGACTGTAGATTCAACTATAGTTGGGTGGAAAGGGAAATGGAGTCCTTATTATAGTAGGGTAAATCATCTTCTTGAATTGAGATACTAGAAAAGCCTCAACAAAAGCTATAATAAACCCAGAGGCCAAGGAGAAAAATTAAAAAGGCCTCTTTAAGAATCATGTTTATTCAGAAAAGCAAGATAAACAGCCTTAGACTTAAACATACATATAATTACA